ATAAAATTTGTCTAAAATATATATGAAAAATAATTTGAAATTAATTAAACTTTAAGGTGAAAGAGGATCTCCTTGTCTGAGACCTCTTCCAGTAGAAAAATCATGCATAGTTTCACCATTCCACAAAATAGAGAAATTCACATTGGAAACACAACTCATGATGAGATCCACCCAATGGGTATTAAGATTGAATTCAGTCAAGGTTTCTCTGATAAAGTTCCAAGAAATTCTATCATAGGCTTTTTCCAAATCAAGCTTAATGATTAAACCCCCATTTTTACCCTTCTTATTACGTAATGTATGGATAAATTCTTGAGTGATAATGATGTTGTCATAGGTAGAATGACCAGGAATGAAACTGCTTTGGTTAGGGCTGATCAAGTTATCAAGAAGGGGTCGTAAGTGGTTCACAAGAATTTTGGAGAGAATTTTATAGAAAACATTACACAAGCTGATGGGGCGAAATTGTTTAATATTAACAGGGTTATCGATTTTAGGTATAGGAGCAATAAGGGTTCTATTAACCTCTAAAGGAATGGATTTCTCATGATAGCAATGCCTAATAAAATGACACACATTATCCCTAATGACATTCCAAAGCTTGTGATAAAATATAGCCTGAAAGCCATCACGACCATGAGCTTTGAAGGCACCAATATTATTCACAGCCTCCAGAATTTCAGCATTGGTTATGTTTCTCTGAAGCACATTATTCTCATCCATAGAAATTTTATTGTGTGCAAGATTACACCAATGATCAAGAATCCCAGTATCATCAGCTTTAAACAAGGTTATAAAATAGGTTTGAACATGCTCCTTCACACTGTTAGGATCATGTAGCCAGACTCCTTGCTCATTTTTCAAAGAATCAATTTTTAGTCTTCTTCTTCTAGTAATAGAAGATACATGGAAAAATTTAGTGTTTCTTTCACCTTGGGTGATCCAATTGTCTCTAGATTTTTGAAACCACAAAAGTTCCTCTAGAAAAAGAGTTTTATTAAATTGTGAAACCAGATCTTTTTCAAAAAAGAAAAGATTATGGGAAAAAGAAATAGATTGAGCTTTTTGGATTCCCTCAATGCGAGCAAGGAGCCACCGTTTTCTTTTAAAAATGTTACCAAAGACTTCCTTGATCCAAACAAGGGAGTTTTCGGCAACAAGATTGAGATTAGAATTCAAAGAATCAGCAGAGTTCCAAGAAGTATTCACAACATCAACATAAGTAGGGTGTGATAGCCAAGCGGCCTCAAAACGAAAAGGGCGGTTAAAGGGAGAGAGTTTGGATATACCTTCAGTGTAGACAATGTGGGGCGAATGATCGGAGTAAGTACGAGGGAGGTTCCGAACTGCACCTTCAGAGAAGGCAGTTCTCCATTCTACATTGCAAAGAGCTCTGTCCAACCTTTCCATGGTGTTTGCCATTCCTCTTCTATTGTTTGACCAGGTGAATTTAGGGCCAGTACATCCCAAATCCATGAGGCCATAATTGTTTATGCTCTCCTGGAACCTTCGATACCTGCCTTGTTGGTTGCTATGGCTGAAGCTTCTCCTTTCATTTTGGCCTCCTACATCGTTAAAATCCCCTGCAACTAGCCAAGGGGATCTCATGGCTACTGCTGTGTCTTCTAAATATTTCCAGAGCTTGTGACGAAGACTGATGTTAGGGCTAGCGTATACAATAGACAAGATCCACTCCTCAAAATGTTCTCTTTTGATTGTTGCCTGAATAACCTGAGAAGTTGCAACATATGCACTGATTGAGACTTGAGTAGGATTCCGGATGAGCCAAATACCTCATACCCTTCCAATTGGGTCAACAACTGTAGATGCAGTGAAGCCTAGACTGTTGAAAAATAAACCCATAGAACTAAAAGTAACCTTTGTTTCGAATAAAGCGACCACATCAGGCCGATGAACTCTGATGAGTTCCCTGAAATTTCTTTTGAAGACTTTATTGTCGGCCCCCCGACAGTTCCAAAGCATGACATCCATAGATAAACGATTGGGGAAAACAGGTAACTGTTCCAAATTGCTTAGACCAGTTATATCACGAACTTTCTTTTGATTTATCACAAATGAGCTCAGAGCTGCCATCTGTGTTGCTTGCATTGGTGTTCCTTCCGCACTCTGCCTTTGGCCTCGATGTTCAGTCTTATCTCTTCGATCCACCATCCGATACGTACTAGGTGAATAGCTTCGCTCTCGGGTTCTAGGTACGAGCCCACTGCACTGTGAGTCATTCTGGTCAGTTGCACCTCTGGTAACGCCATGTCGTCGATACTGAGATTTTGGTTCATTCTTGGAATCGGGTGGGTTATGTTTAAAATCAAGATTTTTACTAGCTAGGACCTCTGGTTGGGGAATCAAGGGTGGAGGTGGATAGAGCAGTAAAGAAGAAGCTATGAGAACTGGGTTTTGAGAGGTTGTAGATATGGAGATATCAGGGATTTTGCTGGGGAAGGATGTGCACGCATTAGTCATAATTGCCTCTATTTCCTTCCCTGTAATCCGTTTAAGCCTAGGGTCATGGCTAGTCTCTTCCATCTCAGATCTATTTGGTCTTTGCTTAGCTGGTGCTTTGTCTGTGAGCTGGTGTTGTGCCTTCTTTGCTGCGATGCTATTTTCAATGTATTCCTTCTCACCTACTCTTTGTACGTGGCTGTCACTAGATGATGCTTTGTTTATAAAATCCTTCTTGTAATGGTTTGGATCAACACTTTTTCCGTTGCCTCTGGGTCTGTCCAAAGTGTTGGAGGGGTTGTCACCTAAAGGCCCAAATCTGTTATTGGGCCTTCTAGAATTGTTGGGTCCTGGTTGACGCCCATACACAGTGGGTCTTCTATGTTTCCGACTGACCAACATCCATGGGCTATATTCTGTTCCTTCTAGTTCTTTGTCAATTGTGCTTGGTGTGTTAGGTGAATTAGCCGTTGTGTCTTGCCGTTGCTGTCCTACTGGACCATTAGAGTTGGTGCCCAAATCTGTTTTTGCCGGCGCCGGTGTCAGTTTAGTACTACAATACTCTTTCCGGTGACCAACTTTACCACATGTGAAGCAAAAGTAATGCGGATGCTCATACTCAATGGTGTATGTATACTTTCCAATTGCAAATCTGGAGATCAGAGGCTTGGTTAGGTCAACTTCCGCACACACTCTAGCATATCTACCTCTAGGTGACATAGCTGTGTTAAGCTCCACCTTTAATGGCTTCCTAATTGCCTTAGCTATGTGGTAAAGGACCCTTTCATTATAATACTCTATTGCGAGTTGAGGGAATCTAACCCATAGTGCAGTGGCAACCTCCCCTGCTTCAGAGGGTTTAAAATCGTGCTCCCATCTCCTGACTGTGAGGTAATGATCCATAATAATCCATGGACCTTCAGTGTAAACCTTACTACAATCACCCATCATCTCAAATTTAATTAAGAAAAAACCTAACCCCAAATCAGTAGCTTCGAAATCCCCTTGTAAGCCCCAGATTTTTCTGAGCTTCGTAACAAAGAACTTATAACCAATTGTCTTCCCCAGTAATCTCACAATGAGGCAATCTTTCCAAGGTTTACGAATGTACCTGATTAGACACAATGGAAGTTTAATTTTTGGGATCGCAATCCCTAGATCCCTTTCATGGATTACATCGTCCATCTCCTCAATTTCTTCATTTTCTTCATCATCAGATAGAAGCTCATCATCATAGGAAAGCCAATTAAGATCAGTATCAAAGGCTTTCTCGTTCAGCTCTGTTGCAGTTAGGGCTTGTTTGAAGGATCTAGATCTTTGCTCTTCCAATGGTGGTTGGGTTTCCACCATTTCCTGATCCTCAGTGGCAACCACTTTGTCTTTGATCTTTTTGGTGCTACGCTCCAAGTGGTCGTCTTCCTTAGGTGATTTGCCAATCAGAGTGTTGGTTGGGAGCGTTAGTGCTTCTTGTGACGCCATGATAGGAAACGAACTATTGGCATTGAATACTTCAAAGAGCCACCCAATGACTTAGGTAGTGTTAGTTGATTAGAATAAAACGAAACGAAATGATTATTTATGAAAATATTTATTGATTAATAAAATATATTACAAAGGAAATTATCATTTGTTATTTTAAAAAAATGATTATTTTATATGAAAGCCTAAAGAATAATCAATTCATTCCATTTAAACTCATTTTAGTGAACCAAATAGAGCATTAAAGTGTTATTATGTAGAATGAGTTCAACCCGAAACCGTTAAAACCTAGCCCAGCCCATGCCTACAGAAAATTATTTTTTGCTCCTCGGACATTCTGATGTGGTGTTTAAATTTGGTTTTTATTAGTTAAAATAATAGAATTCACCATCATTTTGTATTTTTTGAAAGGACAATTAAACACTTGCCAATTAACGGGTAGTGTGAAAAAATACTCTAAAGTCACAAAATTACTTGGAATTTGTTAATGTTAGACGAATGAAAGAAAATGTGATGGTACAACTTAGGCTAAGTTTGGCATGATTGAAAAAAGATAAAAAGTCAAAAAGTCATTATTCTATTTAAGTCACATCATCTTATTTAAGTCACATCACCTCTCTAACACATCATTTCAAACCCAACCCAAATCTAACCCATATTTCATAAAAAGTCAAAAAGTGCACTTATTTAATCTTCCCAAACTAGGCTTTAATATAAATTGTAAGAGATTGATTATGACAATTAAAATAATAATGATTAAAATAAAAAAAATATACGGGATAACAAGGCCTTGTTTAAAAAAAAAAAAAAATATTTTAATAATTTTTTAATTTTTTGACTAAAAATATAAGATTAAAAAATTAATATATTTAAGATGATATTTTATAATTTTTTGACATTTTAATATAAATTGTTGATTTTTTAATTATTTTAATAACTTTTTAATTAAAATCACCGCTGGTGAATCGAGACCTAAACGTAATTATCATTATTTTTTCAAAATTTGTCCTAAATCCCATTATGAAATACTCCCTCTTCCATAACTTTTTGCTTCTCTTTGTGAGAGAGCTGCTTCTTCGTTTACTCAACAGGACTGGCACAATGTTTATACATCTCCACCATAATTAGGGTTTTGTTCTTTAGCATTTGTTAGGTTTCAAGACAAACATTGAAAACCCCAATGTCAGGTCTCCATCGATCGTCCAGTTCCACATTGAAGAAGGCCTCCCACCCCAAGAACTCCTCGACGATCTCTGCAGGTTCCTAATACGCTGTTTAATCTCTCTCATTCCTATACATAATGCGTTAATCTATTTCATAAACTGTGTTGCGTTTAATTACTAGGGTTTAGGTCTTGTATTTGATACTTTCTGTTATTATCTTCACATATACACGTGTATTGTCTATGTATCCAAAAAAAAAAGAAAAGAAGAGTGTCTTGATTTGAGTTGGGAATTTGTATTATGAAGTACGCAAATGAGCTCTGTTTGGTTTTTTTTAGAGGAAATAATGGGGAAAAAAAAAATCATGAATACTTCTTCAATTTAAAGCATGATTTCAAGTTATTATGATTATATGTGTGAGGATTCTCGTTTTTGCTTTCTGTTTTCATTTTCCGGAACTTAGACTAGTTTCCGAGAATTGTTTTCGGTTTTTTTTCTTCTTCTTTTTTGTGTGGAACAACTTACTTTTTATGAAACATCAAAATGTTGTTCTTAAAATTCCAAAACAATTTTGTGTACAAAAATGAAAAGATACAAAACCATGAGTTTTTTAAACTTTTTGTTGTTTTTGAATATGAAAGCACGAAAAAGTTAAGAATACAGAAAACATCAAGTTATTTTAACTATTTTTAGGTTTAGTAAAGTTGTGCAGGAACCATCTTCTAGTAAAAAATTTTAAAAATAAAATAAAAATCTAATTGAGAAATTAGGTTCACAGTATCAAACTGTTCTAAATTCACTTGTTGGGAAGTTAGCTAATAACTCCTTACCATTAACATCTTCATGGTTGATAAATGAACGCTACATCTGTGGTTACTCTAGCGCTGGATCAAGAACTCATTGTGCTCTTCATTTGTGATGTCTTTTATATATATATATTTCATAAAATATATAGAACTAGAGATCCTGTTCACTTTTACCAACTACAATTTCATGCTTTGGATGCTACTATTTTTTATCATTTAAACCCAACTTATGGTATTCTTATTCTAATTCTTTTTGACCTTTTGTTTGTTGTTATTTTCATTGTAGTCGGTTTGTTTTGAATGTACCGAAAGAAGATCAACAATCGTTCGAGAGGATTTTATTTCTTGTGGAGTATGCACATTGGTTCTATGAGGACAATTCAGTGGAAAAAAATCCGTCACTGAAATCATTCACTCTGAAGGAGTTTACTTCTTTAAGTATCCTCTGCAATTTCTGTTTCAATTGCATCTTGAATAACCATCATACACATAATTTGATGGCCTCCTTATTGCATTGAACCCCTGGTTTGGAAGTTTTTTTTACAAGTCTTCCCTCTTGACTCACTTCTGTTTATCTGTTGGGGGAATAAAAGCAATAACATTCACAAACACTCCCGACTAGTACATGCATTCTACTTTTATTTTGTTTATGTAATCCGTCTTTTTGATGGTATTTATTTACACATTGAGGATACCAACCACACGAGTCCAGTACATCAGAGAAGACTAATATTGCTGGTTCTCTATTTGCTAAGTTTTCTTAGTTTTTCAGTAAACTTAGACCTCGTTTGGGAACAGGCTAATTTAGTAACTTTTTGGCTATTTGGCTAAAAAAGTAGGTAAAATAAACTTATATGTTTGGGATGACTTTTTGGCTAATTACGAAAAGATGTGCAAAAAGTAGAGAGAAAAGAGAATCTTTGACTTTTTTGTATGAGTTGTTGGCTTTTTGGCTAAAAATGTAACTTTTTGACTTTTTGGCTAAAAAGGTAAGTCCCCAAACGGGGCAGTTATAATTGTTAAGCATACTTTTTTCTTTTTTTTTTCTTTCTCCTTTTCATTTGTACCTTTTTCTCCGGTGATTCTTGTGGTCCTTAATTTATTGTAGTGTTTAACAGTTGTGATGTTTTGAGACCTTATGTTGCCCATATAGATGACATTTTTAAGGACTTCAATTCATACAAGGTTCGAGTTCCTGTGACTGGGGCCATCATTTTAGACGACTCTTATGAATGGGTAAGGTGTTATTGAATGAAAGTTGTACTGGTAATGCAATGCACAGTTTTTATTTCTTTATTTATTAATGATGATGAAAAAATGGTACAACATAGTTCTCTTTTAGGGTATGCACTTTACCAAATAATGCATTTGTATTCTTGTTTCACTCATAACCTTCATCAATGTTGTTGATGGATATTATTGTTGTAGAAGAGCTAAATTGAAAGAATACCAATTTATCTCTCGTAGGGTTTTGTGAGCTTTGATTATCCAAAAAAGATCAAAGCTTGAATGCTCATGCATGGTGGAGATTCAAACTTCAAGACCATCAATGGAATTTGAAATTGGAAGATAATTAATTTCACTAATTGAAAATTGGAATTCGATGCTATGTTTGGTAGATGAGAGATGATGAGAAGAGTGGAAAATTTTAATTTGCTCATCTTTTCTCTTGCTTGGTTCTAATTTAGATGAGAAACACAATGAAAATGAGAAAGAAAATCACTTAAAACTTTTCTCATATATCTGCCACAAATGAAGAGAAACATGAAATAAAACTATTAGGTACAATCAAACTATGAAGCATGGGCATTTCAAAAAACATGTCGTACCCGTACCGGGTACTTACCGGTGTATGGTACCTCGTATGGTATTTCTACATGCGTACTGGATACACGAAACACGTACCCAAATTTTTTCTTCTTAATTTTTGGCGTACCCAGACGTACCTAGTATATATCCAAGATGTACCGTATCTTAGTTGAAACAATATTTTCTTCTACTATAGAGATAAAACTCCTTTCACTATACTTCTTTTTTATTTTTACTTTTATACTTAGTATGATTTTAAAATTAAACTATGGTTTGTAAGTTATTTAATAGATTGACATTTAATTTTGATCTGTACCTTTACTTTTGGCATTAAATGTTAATTATATGTTGGATTGGATCTTAACAAATTAAACTATTTAATTAATTTTTGCATCACTCTAAATTAAAAATAAATATTTTTTACAAGCGTACCAACCTGTACCCATACTCGTACCCTACTTTTTTTAGATTTTATCGTATTGATGTACCCGTATCGTACCAGTACCAGTACCAGTACTCGTACATGTACCCGTGCTTCATAGCAACCAAATAAGCACAAGCACAAAGAATCGAAAAGTCTAACCCACAGTTCTCCTTAAAACTCAGGCATTAAGGAGAGGAAAACTGGAGCGTTATAATAAGCACAGATGGGATAACTCTAGGCAATGCGGGACACATTCCAACACACCCTCCTGGTCCATAATATATAGTAACCGGACAAATGGCACACCAATCAGAGTCCCAACCGAGCTTTGATGCCCAATTGAAAGTCTAGCCTACACTTCTCCTTAAAATCCAGGTATTAAGGAGAGAAAAACTAGAGCCTTATAACCAGTACAGATAGGGCAACTCTAGGTGATATGGGACATATTCTAACACAAAGCATAGTAATGTATTTCTTTACATTTTCCCACTTTCTCCTATTTCCTACTATTTCTTATTTTTATTTACTCTTTTACTCTCATCACATTCACTTTCACATCAACTGAACAGAGCATGATGATATAACTAAAAATATTGTAGTTGAAATCATTTGTGATTAGTAGGTTATGTTTATGATGAGAATCTATGTTACATGGACTCGGGTACGGGTGCAGGTATGTATCTAGAGGTCAGATTCATCAAACCATAAATCCAAGGGTACTCGGACTTGGCAAAGGCAAAAAAGTGTCATATTTTGATATTTTTAATAAAGTATGTGAGATACAATGGTATTATATATAATTTACAGTGTTAAAAAGATATTTATAGTATTTATACAACAATATGTGCATATGATAATGGTAAGGGTGCAACTCAGGCGGGCTTAACCCGAGGAACCCATGCCCAGCCCGAATTTTTTTAGGGCTTGGGCAACAATGTCTTGTAATCTGGACGAGCTTGGCTGGATTTTTCCAGGCCTGGGTGGAATCAGTGGCTAACCCAAGCAACCCGAATCCGAATTGTATTTAATATATTATATAAATTATATAATATATGTATAAATTTAATAGCTAGCCCTTAATTTTTTGTTTTTTTTTTTTTGCTGGTCTTTGGCCCTTGGATTAGCATCTTTTATTTGGACCATTATATTAAAACTAAAAACAAAACCTTACCTTATCTATTCTTTCTTCCCTCTCTCTCAGACTCTCATTTCATTTCTTCATGAGAGTTGAAGAACAGCGGAGATACCAACAACGACGAAGTGCAGCCACCAACAACGACGCCACCCTTTCGATAAGCTTCGACGCCACACAAAACTGGTAGATCCCTCTCTGTGTTTGTATTTGTGCCTCAATTTGTCTATTTTTGGTCACTCGTCGTTCGATTACCACTCAAAACTGGTGATATTGATTTTACAAGACTTTGGACTAATTCCATTTGGATTTGGTCAAAGAGCATTGTGAAATCAATCTGGGAGTTGCAACAGTAGACTTGCACTTGCCAATCTTTTTTACTCATTTGATTGGAAATTACCTGTTGGGATGAAATTTGAAGATATTGATACTAATATTGTGGGAGCCGAATAAATAGAAGAGTCGGAAGGTGCGTACCCCAGAAATCAGATATTATTCGGCTCCATACTGCGTGACTAGGATACCGAATA